TGTGTGTGTGTGTGTCTCTGTGTCTGCGTCTGTGTGCGTGTGGTGGAAAGGTAGACAGACAGATGCAGGCAAACAAACAGACAGGTAGATGGACACGTACTGCGAGACGGATGTATGGATGGATGGATGGATGGCATTGGAATGGATTGATGGATGGATGAATGGATGGATGGATATGGGCGGATGGATATATGGACGGACGGACGGAAGGACGGAGGGGCGGAGGGACGGATGGATGAATGGACGGATACCTGTGGATAGATGGATGGACAGATAGATCAATAGGTAGGAAGGTAGGCAGGTAGGTATAGATAGACAGACAGATGGATAGACAGACAGACAAATAGATAGATAGATGCATGTGCCCGAAAAAGGGTGAGAGAGCATATATTTGGTGTAAATGTCATGTAACAAGGGCTGCTTTAGATGTGTAAGCGTGCACGTAACAGCAGGACCGTGTTTCAGAAGGTTTAGGTTAGGTTTATGTTAGGCTTAGGATGGTTTAGGTCTTGGTTGAGGCAAAGGCTTAAGCTGGGATATCCCTGTTAGGTTGGATTGGGCTAGGTATGGTTAGGTTATGTTGGGTTTAATGTTTAAGTGGATTGTCCTCGAATCACGAAAGCGCAATTGTCTGTGGATGGGCGGGTGTAATGATGTAGCGCTGATGCAGGATCGCGATGATGAGTTCCGGCAGTGGCAGATGTAAGGAGCAGAAGAGGAAGAACCGCAACAACAACATCGAGAGTCTCAGTACGGGCACGAGTCGTCCTACGAAAATCTCAGTGGATTCAACAATGGACATACCGATGCAAAACACACCGGCGTGCGGCCTTGGCGTTCACAACATCGGTCCCCGCCTCCGCAGCGAATGCCGGACAAGAATGATGCAAGAAGCTATGGGATATTTGTAATGCAAGCAGATTTTATTGAACCTGGAGATGCTTCTTTGATTGTGGTGAGCATTGATGTCGGGAGGGTGGAGGTGAACGTGGCACTGCTGGGTGCGATGTCCAAAAGTTGTTGTCGCACAAGATGCTGAAGACGAGCAGTGGTAGTACGGTGCACTCTGCTTTGCTGCATGTGTCTGAGTCAAATTGAGTCTCCTTCCCACTGTACGCATCGTGTCTCGATCCTGTTCGGACTGCCTTCTGCTAGCAGCCCGGAAGCACAAGCACTTCGCCCAAGCTGCACGAAAAGTCAGGCTCGTGCCAGAGCCGAAGAACTTCACCCCAAGCGCTGGGCTCCCGACGTCCTGCACATGCCTCAGCAGCGCTCTCAGCAGCTGCGTGGGTGCACAAGGTGCAATGAGCCATATACGGTCAAGCTTCTGCAGCAGATCTAACGCTCAAGTCCGTCATGATTTCACGCGAGGCACTTGTCCAGGTCTGGAATCTTGCTGGCTTCGATGGTCTTCGCCACCTCGCAGTCAAAAAGGTGGCATCTAGCTGTCTATGGGCTTGTGAGTGAGTCTGCAGCCGCTTGGCTTGGCAGGCCTTTGGGACTCACTGGGGCAAAGCAGGCTCTTAATTCGGATGGAGATACTGTCCTTCGTGCCTGTGAAGCCCCCAACCCCGAAGCGCCATTACAGCGCGTCAAAGGAAAACAGAAGGCATAGCTGGCCGGTCGAGCAACAGCGAAGCTCCAAACGCTGTCCCGCAATTGCAGTTTTCGAGCTTCCCATGGGAACTCTCTGACAGGGACTCCATGCGATCCCCGGCAAAGGTCGGTTTTTACGCGCAGCGAATCCACTCTGGATCTGAAAATGGGTCTCCGAAGGAGCCTCTGCTCCTACCTGAACCCTAAATCCAGGGTTTGCGCCTGTGTGTGTGTGTGTGCGCGCGCCCAGGTATGTATGTGTGTATGTATGTATGTATGTATGTATGTATGTATGTATGTATCCTGCCATGTGCATGTAAATATGTGCTTTGCCTACATGCATACATACACTCATGTACACATACATGCATACGCACATGCATGCATGCATGCATGCATACATACGTACATACGTAATTACGTGCATACAAACACGAATACACACATCTGTATATAGATATACAGATGTATTCATGACCAACTCATGCTGAGACTTCCCACAAGCGCTTCTGGGTCTCTAGTCAGAACCTCTGGACGGCGCAAAGGTTGAGGACAGCACTTTCGCCTCTACAACAGCTCGATGGAACTCGAAGGCTTTAGGGATGCACTGCCGCGTGTCAGTACTTAAGCTGGTCAGCTTGAGACGCCGCACGCCGCTCCCTTTCGTGGAGCTTGAAAAAATTCAGGGCGACTCACCACTTCAGTCAGATCTCATGCCGTTCCTGCACACGAGACGCATGGTATCAGACTCAGGGATGTCAGGAACCCAAAGCGTCCAGGCGTGTGTCCCCACGCAAGGTTTGGGGGCTACTGGAGTTGGTGACCGGGCAGGGAGGTCGCGTTCAGCCTCTTGGGGTTCTTCCGGGCTCCAGCGGGATCTCCCAGTGCGAAAACCTTTGCTCCCTACCCCCGCTTTGTCGGCTGTTTGCAACGTACTATCACTGTAGCTGCTGCCGATACACGAACCTGGCATCTCTGGTTGCTCTTGGGGCCCTTGGCCCGAAAGGGAGGATTTCCACCAAGACCAAGCCCGGGAACTCCCACAGCTCTCGAGGCACCCGAGCCATTGGAAGATGCTCGCGGACAAGCGCGCGGCAAAGAAGATGCCTGGGCTCCGGAGGGACGGAGGAGGGCGGCTCGAGGAGCCCCGAAACTCAGAGACCAACGCTACAAAGATTGAGAAAATCTGAGTGTTTCCAAGTAGACCGCCCTGCAAAAATCTCCGAAGCTTTCCCACCCTGAGCTTGCAGAGCCGAAGACGAAAAAGCCTTGCTGCCGGATAGCCCAGGAGGCTCTGGATCCAGGGATCCCAGAGGTTCAAGAAGGCAGCTGGCGTCGTGGGATGATGGGGGTCTTGTGCTTCAGCTCTTCGGGCCCAGACACGGGGGGGGGGGGTGCTTTGAAGAGGGAAGTTTAGGAGCAGACACCAAGCTAGGCAAATCCAAGGTCCTTCAACCGCAAGCTCTCAAGGAAGACCGATTCCCCAATTCCAGGCGATTTTTGCAGGCCTATGATGGGGTCGTAGTCGAACAGCCATTTCAATGTCTGCCCCACGATGAGCCAAGCTGACAGCCTTGGAAGTACTTGTGAGTCCAGCTGGTCTGCTTTTCTACATAGATCTTAGATCGCTGGCGCATTTCCGTTGCAGCGACCGCAGAACATGCAGTACGTACTACAAGCCGGGAGTTCGGGACGTTGATCCCGCCGTTGCTGCTTCTGCAAAACACAGAAGAGCTTGCCTTCGTCGCTTCTTGCATTTTGGCTTTCTTGTGCAAGTGTTTGTCGTTCCGCGAAAGCTCCGACTGGACATGCCTTTAGCATGCCTCTTCGAGATGGTGTTCGACTGTGAAGGGACGGCTGCCAGTCCCGACCGCGGGTTTCGCTCTTAGGATCTGGCATTACGAGTCACTCCGCATTTGTGCGTGTACGTGATTGAGGGCCTCAGAACGAAGGGCCCTCTGCAACACTCCCTAGATGTTGCGGGGCTCCAGCGAGACCCAATTATATACCCTCTCTTGCTCCAAAGGTGCGCGATCAGGGTGAAGACGTCCACGACCAAGAGCCAACCAAAGGATTCCTTGATCCAGGCCCAGCCTGGGCGCGCGGGGGGCGTTGCGCTGCTCTGCTGCCGCTTTTAACTACGCCGGCCTTTTTTGGGGGGAGCTTTGCTTCACCCTCGGCTCGGCAGCTCGGAGCCGGGCCGTCTTCCTCCGGCTCTTCCAAGGGCCCTCGCGCCTCATCCTCCCGGAGGGTTCAGCCCTCTTGTGGGGCTCGCGGGTCTAGCCGAAAAAGTTGAAGATTCCGAGCAGCAGCTCCATGCGCTGAAGCTGTCGGCTGAGGCCCCTACATTTCGGCGTGGGCTTTGGGCTGAACGAATCTGAAACAATTTCCGCGCGCAAACTGTATTAAGCACGGTGACTACATGCTTGTGTGCCCGTCAGTCCTCTTGTATACGACATGCAAAACCGTCCCTCGACTACTCAAGCAAACCGTGAAACACTGCAACCAATACGTATTTGATATGCAGGAGGACTACAACACAATTACGACCAAAGACTCAACAGTCCTGATTATGGGTATGATCATGAAAGAACGGCCTTTCCACTTCAGCGATAAGCAACCGCGTAGAACTAGTCAATCCCACCCAGTTACCTTGTTTATTGCAAATCCTCCGGTCCTCCGCTTCGGCCGCGGCGGCAATCTCATCGAGGATACCATCAAACTTCTCCTCACCCTGGCCGACAGCACGCAACATCTTTGAAGACCCTCTGAAAGTCGCTCGCGAAACAGTCGTGCAGCCTGACTATGTCGGTGTAGCTGCCAAACAGCGAAGAACCGCACGGTCCACGTCCTCGAAAACCACCCCATAGTACCATGCACCCCGAAGATGATTCCTGGTGAAAAGTAGCCAAAGTGGTGACTACAACGCGAGAAGCAGCTGAAATCAAACAGAAAAGCGGCGAAAGGGACAAACTTTGCCCCGTGAGCTCCGGTGGGTCCGACAGGGTCCGACATAATGTTTGAACCACACATCCGGCTCGTCAAAATAAAATCTCAGGTCACTGCAGGCTAAGCCGCTGAGCTCCCAAGGAGGACTTGGCGTGTTTCTTCGGCTTCAAGGTGTTATCCCTGAGAACCACTGAAGTTTCTGTTATCTCCATGCGCCCGACACCCTAAACCCTAAACCCTCGCTCCGGCCTGGATGCCGCCGCTCACAACGCTGCGCTCGGCATGGCGAAGGGTGCGAGGGCTCTGAGACCCGGTCCTCGGAAGAGTCGAAGCGTCGGGAACAGACGAGTCGGCTTGGGATCTACGTCTTGGGTTTTTTTTTGGGGGGTTCGGGCCTTACCTCACTTTTTTTATGAATTATAGGATCTGAGACCACTTCCTCGCAAACCCAGCTCCTTGAGTTTTAACGGGCGGAATAGCCCAGCTTTTCAGGCTTCAATTTCCAAAGTGCCTCAAGCCCCTGGAGGCCAAACGTGCAAGGAACCCACGAACTAGCAACATTGGAAACCAAGGCTGAGTCCATGGCATGGTCTATTTCTTGAAGAGCAAATCCGAGGTCATGACAGTAAGACTATGTGGCGAATTCGTTCCCTGAAACTATAGGACAACTGCACCTTTAGAAAGGACGCAGCATGTGTGGGAGGGCAAAGAGCCACCGCTGTCCGCGCCCCGCGAACCCTTGGTCCGTCCAGGTGCAGCCCGAGCTGCGAGGGTTTTGGGGGCCCGGGCGTGAAGGTCAGAGAAAGGCCGGCGAGCCAGACCTGACTGGGGGGATAGCGCAGCCTCGAACCCCGAACCCGAAACCCCTGGTGTCTGGTCCTACTGATGCCATTATAATTTATATAAGTATTACACCGTAATACCGGCTCATCCGAGTGAAGGAGACGCAACAGAACAGAACCGACTCCGCAGCCAGACCTCAAGTGTGCCAAAGGGCACTCCAAGCCCAACCCAGATCCGACATCCGCTTTTCGCGATTCTTGGGGCATGAAGCAGCATGCAACACAAGTCTCCGGCTCGGAAGCCCTCGGAAGTCTGGGAGGCTTTGGGGCTTGGAGTTTGAAGGTCCAAGCAGCTGCCGCCGCCAGCCACAAGCCGCTTGAGCGCCGGCCGGTCCTTCGAAGCGCGAGCTGCTGGGCCTATATCTACAGAGTCCAAGGCCCAGGAAGGTTGCGGCTGTCGGAGACCGGAAACATGAATGACTTTCTCGCTGCGATTCGTGTAGCTGTGCAGCGTGCAACCGGTATAAAAGCGCTGAAGACCTGAGACTGATCTGAGACTCCTGAGACTTCCCTCGGCGGTCCTGGCCATGCCGCCGCCGGGCGCCGGCCGGACTACGACTGCGGCGACTACGGCGACTACGGCAATCTAAACAGCTGTGGCGGCTGGACTTTTGAGGATGCCGATGCTTCCTGGTTGTCTGGGAAAGGAGTCCCAGAAGATGCGGGGGGCTCATCCGGCATCCGGGGCATGGACGCGCGTAGGTTCTTAATCTCACGCGCTGTGTTTGCATGGGCTTCGCATAGCTCCGCAAGCATTCAATCCTGAAGCTGCGGCACACGAAGCGGGTGCACAACCCCTTGCATGCCCTACACGGAGCAACTAACATCGAAGAAGAAGCAACTCAGAACAAACGAACCAGGCCACGAAAACCGAGGAACCTCGTTGAAGGACATCGTTCTACAAGCTACCGCTAGCAAACAGCTCGTCGTCAGCGCGCAGCAATCCAGCCTTATGACGGTTTAGGATGTTTCTTATAGGGCTCCCTCCTTAGGGCCTTAGGCTCACAGCCACGCACAGCCGAAAATCCGGGCCTTGTCCTGCGAGAAGAGAGGGAGGATCGTGACGCCAGCATGGCCGCCGACCACGGGCACCTCACGGAGTCGCTGATGGGCCGCCGCCCCCGCCCACCCCCCCCCCCCGCCCGCCGTCGTAGCAGCGGCAAATGCAGCAGCGAAAAATATGCAGGAGCCTTTTCAAGTAGAGGAGGGTTTTATTTGGGGCCCCGTATACTATAATTTTAAAAAAGAACCCCCAAAATAGTATTGGTAATTATTTAGGCCCCTACATTAGGTTCTGCTCTTGTTGTTGTTGAAAGAGTTGCTGTGCGGGGCGCAGGAGGTGGAGGAGGAGGAAGCACGAGGAAAGGCAAGCGTTTAAGAAGTAGCAGTCATGCTTGTCTTTGAACTAGGGAATGTTAAGACCATCTGCTGAGTCGCCGAAGCAAAGCTACCTTTCGTTTTGGGCAGAACTGAAACGGACATTTACCTTGTCGCCCTTGGCATTCAGAGTTTGCTGGGCGCAACTCAGAGTCGATTCGGGAATGTTCTGGACCACGATGGCGGTCTGCTAGGTCTCCCTGCGCTGATGTAGTTGGGATTCTTCCCCGTGATCTCGCCAACGAACCTTGGACCGATGTACTCCGGGGGCTAAAGTCACCACCCTTCGGGATCTTCGGCCTGGGATCGGAGCTGGGGAGCAACTGAGACCCTCACCACGCCGTACCAAACAAGAACCCAGTCTTGGGAGCATCAATCGGCAAAACCACGGTCCATTGCGACTACCTTTTGAGAGGTTTTGCGGCTTGTGCAAGTACAGTAGGGGATGCCGAGTCAAAAACGGGCCTCTCTGCCTGTTCTTTCGGCGAAGACAACACCCGAAACCCTGTGCTCCGCACAGCGCCACGAGCCGTGTGAGAAGCGGACTTGTTGGCCCTCACCACGTCCAGGGTCGTGATGCCCACGATCTTCATCGGATCCAAGCCTGGTACAGGCTTAAACTCACAAGCTTCGATAGGTCGGTCCTGTCCATGCAGTATGCGGACAGCGGCGAATGCATCACGGCATGTCAAAGGAAATTCTGGACATGTCTGCGGATACCTTTGCTTTGACGCTCGGGCTTCTAACTTCTGCACTGTGTGCAACGACCTTCACACCTCCTAAAACTGAACTGGACCCGGCCCGACCCCAAGATCCGACAGCCGCAAGCCCCCCACCTTTCTTCTTGTACAGCTCAGCCATGGCAGGCCTCGGTGCTTGGAAAAATTGCTTGTCACTGCAAAGAACCGGCTTAAAGAGTTCGATCACCTCGCTGCTCTACAGAATGTGAATGGGAAGCATTCACATCACAGTCATTTTCGTGAGAAATCGCCTCATAACCCCAACCGTCCAAACGACGTGTCCGATTTTGAGTTCGACGCGCAGGCATTCCGAGGGTGTTCAATTAGCTGTACAACCCCTGTTCCGTTGCTGATCCATCTACTCTAAACCTGATGACAACCCCACCTTGTAACAGTCTACAATATGTGCAATTCGAGTCCGACTTGAATTTACCCGCTTATAAAACGGCATGTAAAGGCTGTAAAGGCCTCGAAGTTAGAGATTATGTTGATGTGTCCAAGCACATCTGATGTTGGGGTAATATTTCACCTCATCTAAACGCAGTAAAGACAAACGACACCACAAACGAGGTCAGGCGAAGCACTCCCTCACAACTATGTAACTTCAAGATTGTACATAACACCGACACCAGAGGTGGAATGTCTGCGCTTAAGTTGAAATCTCATTAACTGACGGCGGCCGTGCCCACCGACTACCACCACATGCCGACGCGAACCCGCTCCAAAGTCCCCAATTCATGTCGCGCCAAATTACCCTCATCACGGTCCGCGGCGCAGACCTCTAGTTTGAAGCTCCGAAGAAAACCTCGCAGCCATACGCGCAAGACAAACTAGACGCTTGACGCCTTCACCTGAACGGCCCAAACACCAACCTCAAACCTGGAAAGCATCGGAAACCCTGAACTTCACGAAGAACTTTGATTGCTTTAAACCCTGGAAGTCTTCTAAAACCCCAAACCCCTAAAACCATCCCTGAAACTTGAGAACCCTAAACCCGATAACCGTCAAACCTTGACCGTGAAGAAAACTTTCACAAGCCTTCGACACAGAGCCCGAACTCCCCCTCCCTTTTATGTTTTCAACGCAATTCGCATCATTGACATCAAAACACTTCCCACCACTTCCCCAAGCACTCAATCCAGCCGCGAATCGAACACCTGCCGACAACATTACAAAACGTGAAACGACACACACTGCTGACTGAACGAACGGACCACAAACACCTCACACACATGACCAGCAAGCAACATCATCGAGGCACTCAGCAATCACATGAGCAATCCGGGAGCGCCGCTATAAAACCGTCAACCCGTTTTTGTGGCATTCCCTGACTGAGCAAGATACACGATCGAGTTCACCGGGTTGACGACCATTCCCAACATGGCATCCGGACCTCAACTTGGTCTGATCGCATCGAAGCTCTAGCTTTGAAACTGTCTGAAACCTGTGATTCTGTGGAGCTCAGCTGGGGGACTTTGATGCATTTATGTGCCTCTGCGGGGTTTCGAGTTCAACAGTTCAGGTTTTCGTGACCTTCTGGGGTTGCAGGAAGAGCTCAAGCTGAAATCCAAAGCCCGACGCTGGGATCGCTGGGATTCGGGAGCCGTTGGGGTTGGCTCGAGTCCTGTTGTAAGGAGCCAGCAATACTTTGCGCAAGCTTCCACGATGCCTTTGGCAATGTCCGCGTTCACCTTTCATCATTCCATCCAGAGCTGACCACGACCCGTGAAGGGGAAAGCAGAACTCACAACGGTCAAACCGTATCCGAAGCGCTCCGAACTTGCATCATCTCTGCAAAAGAAGTCCCCTCAAGCCTGGACTTTAAAAAGGGTGGACAAGAGCTGAGGGAATCTTTCTCTCCGGCCCTCTCGGACTGTCGGAGCCTTGAAGAGGTCGTCGCGGGTCATCCCGGGCTTCCTGGCTTCGGAGCGGAAAAGACCCCAAGAACTTCTTCTTCGCATCAGTGAGGAGAGACCCCTCTCAAACCTGACGAGAAACCCAAAGAAGCCCAAACCCCGGCCGGGTGCCCCACCTGGGCATGCCAGCCGGGACGAGGACCAGGTGGCAGCCCTCGAGGCACCTCGGAGACAGCGCAGCTCGGGTGCCAGCTACGCTATGGTATGGCCACAGGGCCACAACTTTTGTGAAGATGATAACTGCGCACACTCTATTGTTACAATGGCTAGGGGCTCTACTCTCTGGGGTTCAAGCAGACTGCTATTCCCCGGCTTTACGCATGCCGTGCCTCTGGCACCCAGTCGCAGAGCATAATATTAGCTTTCTTCTCCTTCTTCTTCTCTCCGTTTCTTTCACATGCACCCACGCGCAACCTTCACGGAACCACTCATTGACGCGTCGGGGCACTCCTTGAGGCTGTCGACCGGTTTCGAGCCGACCTGACTTCAGAGATCTGCAGAAAACGGTGCAGCCACAAAAAGGGTAGAGTGCCTGAAGAAGGTGTCAGATGACTGCTGTCATATCCTCTCCAGGCCGCAAGAGCAGTCTTATGGCAGCAACATGATGCACGACACGGCGATGGTGATGATGCTGCGTGGGTGATAGTGGCGGAGACAGCGACAACAATCCAAATAACAAGTGACTCCTGAGATCTCCTGGCATTCCGCCGCCCGACTGGATCTTCAAATACCACGAAATCTGCGAAACCGCCGGAAAAAAAATCGTCGAAAAACCCAACGCGCGCCAGCGCCTGCCTCCATGACATAGCCCTTCACATCGCTCTTCCTGAGGGGAGACCCAGATCCGATGGCTCTCGGGTTACGGCGCAACGGCTTCAGCCCGCCAGAGACACCCCAAGGAGCGAAAGCTCTCAAGGCTTCAGACAGCGAAAGAAGCGAAGCGGCGCCCGGCCTCTCCAAGTGGCCCAGGTCCGCTGCGACGCCCGCAGGTGGCACCTGGCTTCTCGGAAGGTTGATGTCATCGATGCTCGAAGGCTCTATCTGGATTGCGCTTCGGATTAGTAGCCTGACGATGCTTTCCAGGGCCCAGAAAAACGAGGCTTTGATGCGGCGAATCGAGCCCTGATGGGTTCACCTTTCTCGTCCCGCACTACGAGTACGTTTCAAGCTAAACCGTCGAGCTGCCAAACTGCCATGGCCTTCACTCGTGAAGCCACGCACCCGACTCCTCACTGTCCCAATGTTTCGTATGGATAGCCAAATTTTGCGGTCGGTCACTGACTCACTGTCTCCCTGGCTCTGTCTCTGCCTGTGTCTGCGAGGATACGTGTACATGGGAAGCCGTGTATGTCATGAATACACCTACGCATGTAAATGTAATCGAGTAAGTATGATGCAGAGGGCTTCTGAGGGCTCTAGGGCGGCGTGAACTGTGAACCTTCGCGACCTTTGCGTAAGACTGTAGCCGCAGCCTCGGGAGCCTCCCACAAGCCCCG